TTATCAGTATGATTCAATTTTCAACCTAAGAAATTGGAGAATCAAATTTTTGATTAAATATGGTTGATTAGTTGGAATTTTATAATTAATAAATAACTTGAAATATTTTAGTGAAATTTTTAATTAATTTTATTAAATCAAAACTATTTTGCTTTCATAATTAATTATAAGTATAAGTCTTCTTTAGGTACGTTGAACGGCCACTCAATTTAAATATTGAGATGAAGCAAAGGTTAATTAATTTGAAACGAAGGTTTTATTTAACAATAAATAATGACATCCTTCCAGTTTTAAAAATTGAAAATAATAAGAAAAACATCTTACGCCGCTCGTGCGAATTTGTTGTATTAATAAAACAATTTACGCCGCTCGTGCGAAATTGTTAAATTGATTCTAGTTTTTAATTTAGAGGGTGTTTTAAATTTATTTTTATTCACCTCTGGATAAATGCCTAAATCAAAGAAACCAAGAAATCGCGGAGGCAAAAATGCTCAAAGACGTTACGAAACTGCAGTCGTAACATCTTCCAGTACTAGTTCCAATTCGTGTTCGAGTAAAATTGTTGACTCACAATTGAACTCATTTAACCCAGTGATCAAAAAAATTGATAGCTTGTATTGTGAAAAAGAAAATTTGTGTATTTACAAGGTAGAATACGTGACTACTTTCAGCCATCCCAGTTTTTCTAAAAAAAAGAATTCAGAAGAACTTAAAGCTGTCCCGATAAACTTCATAAAAAGGGCCAAAATCCTTTCAGGAACCAATTTAGGATAACAGTAATCGAGTCGTAACCTGAGACCGTGTTAGATTACAATACATTATATATTTCTCGTTGCTCTTTTTGGAGAATTGAAGGCATAATGTGTGAATAATTTAAAAAAAAATTATATATATATAAATTTTTATATATTATATGTATGATAATAATAATAATAATCGAGATTGAGGAAATTTCTTTATTGTCAATTCTAACAATATATATATATGTATATATATACACATATGTATAATTATATGTATATTAATGTTACCTCGACTACAAGTGACTGCCCAAGTTTTTCTGCGGACGAGTGGAAAGAATTAGACGAGAGAATTCAAGCATTGGGAAATTTTAGTGAAAAATTAACAATAAATTGTATATTTTTGCAACTTAACACTGAGCGTAATGATAAAAAAATTTAATTTCTGTCTCAATGGTTGTGCTCTCTCTCTGATTCTAATGGTAATCTTAAACAACTAATTGATGAGACTAAAGTTAAGGTTACAGAACAAGAATCTTTAATTAAAAACTTACTTTCGATTTTAACAATTTAAAATTGAGTTAAAATTTTTATCCTTGTACATGACTTACGATAACTATTGATTACACATATAATACGGTAAAAGCTAATGTATCCCCACTACCACAGAATACTTTTTCGAGACACAGAGAGGATTCAAAGAAAAATTGACCAATTAACCTTTCAAAATCTTGAGTTATCTAAATACCACGACTATTTAAGACAAAAAACAAACTTTAAAATTTTTGTATTGTATGGTACGAGCAGAAACTGACAAGATTAAAAACTTGGAATTGGCCGTAGAAGAATTAACCTTGCAATTAGGAAATCTTAATCTAACCTAAATACGAACTAATAAAGTATTGAACCATAAACCTAAACGTCGTTCACGTCCCCGCACTAGATCAAACTGAGGCTATGACGTCAATGATGGAGTGTTTTACCGTGGAGAGAGGAACGCACCACATCCCCTGTTTTAATGGAAACGAACCACCCCTAAGGGAGTTCTTGCAAGATCTTACCAATAGTATGGTTTTCATGACACCCGCCACCGAGGCAGGTTTCGTGAAAGTCGTACTAAGTAAATTAAAAGGGCCTGCAGGGAAAGCGTTAGAGACAAACAATTTCCAACATTAAACGATTTAGTCAATCATCTTAAGAAACGTTTTTCAACGCCAAAGACTTACCAATGGTACATTGATGCCATCGAGGGCTTAAGAATAAAACAAACCGAAACCGTTAGCGATTATAATGACCGGTTACAAAGTTTCATTAGTGGGGCTAAGCATGCCCTTGAAGAAAAATATCCGGGAAATGTGGAAGGTTCCAACATTCCACAAAGCCGCGTGATGATGATCCCGATTAGAGATTTCGCGTTAGATTCATTTATACGAGGATTGCCAACCGACATATCAACACACGTGGATACGCGTTGCGCTCGCGATATGAGCGAAGCGCTTGAGTTGGCCCTTCATGCTGAAGAAAGAGATTTTTACACCGATCGTACTAGATCAACGTATCGAATATTAAAAAATCCCGAGCATCAGGAGCAACAACAACCTACTCCAATAACTCCAATAACCCTCATCAAGTAGGTTGAACAACACTTCTAACCCAAGTTTGCCCCCCTATTCAATGCCCTATCCACAAATGTATTATCCTTTTCCACCATATCAAGGATACCCTCCATACATGCCATACACTTTTCCTTCTAGGGAAGCCCCCAAACAAGGAAATGCGACACCACCGAGGGCTCCATTACTTGCTCATCCCAAACATTTAAACTATCAATCGATTCATCCAATGGACGCGTCGGTGAATCGAGTCAATTGCGAGCGTCAAAAGACAGTGCAATTCCAAACGTCGGTCGAATCCTTAGGGCAGGAACAAAGACAAAGGATTCCCCCGTCGTCGAACTAACATCAAATGAACTCGTCAATAATAAGGCCTCGTTTCTAGTTGACCCCGGGTCAGATTCAAACTTAATCAAGAGCTAGGGCCTCAGGAGCTTATTCCATTCGAACATTGCCGATTTCCCGGAGAAGAAACTTCTGAATCCGATACGGAAGACCTTGTAGAAAAATCTTCCAACACGTATGAAGAAAGAATAGGGAAGGTTAAAGATGCTCTTCACACTTCACACTTATCCAACGAGGAGAAATTCTATGTAATGAAATGGATCGAAGACTATGCAGATATCTTTCACCTAAACGGAGAAAAATTAACGTGTACTCATTTAACTCAACACCGAATTCCTACCATTGACGATAAGGTGATCCATAGAAAACAGTACAGAAGAGCACACGAGGCTTCCGAACAGGTGGATACTCAGATTAATAAGCAGTTCAACGCCGGTGTCCTTAGTAAATCAACATCACCGTATAACTCGCCTCTTCTAATTGTGCCTAAGAAAATGGACAATTCTGGGGAGAGCAAATGGAGGTTAGTGATCGATTATCGCGCCCTTAACGAAAGGATGATAGGAGACGCTTTTCCCCTACCTAATATTTCAGAAATTTTTGACCGCTTGGGCAGTGCTTGATATTTCACAGTGTTCGACCTTGCTAGTGGATTCCATCAAGTCATAACCCACCCTGACGATCGCTATAAGACAGATTTTTCAACCGGTCGCGATCACTACCACTATAACCGGATGCCTCTGGGAATCAAGAATGCTCCCGCAACCTTCCAACGCCTCTTAAATGAAGTGCTTAAAGGAATGTTGGACGAGGAAGCATTCGTATATCTTGACGACATAATCATCTTTTCGGATATGTTAGAGGAACGTGACCGAAGAGCCCGAAGATTATTCAACAGGATACGGGAACCCAACTCAAGCTTCAGCCAGACAAGTGTGATTTTCTAAAAAAAGAAACCGCTTATCTAGGTCACATCATTAGTCAAGAAGGAGTAAAGCCGAATCCAACAAAAATCGAAGCGATCAAGAGCTTCCCAAGGCCCGACAGCCCAAAGAATATTAGACAATTTTTAGGACTTACAGGTTACTATCGTAAGTTTATTAAAAACTATGCAAAAAAATCGAAACCTTTAGTCGACCTGTTGAGAAAAGAGAGTAAATGGGAATGGGGACTCCCACAAAAACAAAGCTTCAAAAAACTTCGTTCCTACTTGTGTCGGGAGACGATCCTCCAATTCCCCGATTTTTCCAAACCTTTTAAATTAACTACGGACGCCTCAGAATTAGCAATAGGCGCCATTCTAACCCAAGAAAAGGACGGAGTAGATATGCCGATAGCATATTACTCCAAAGTGCTAGGTGAAGGTAAAGGTCGATATGATGATGCTGAAGAAGAATGTTTAGCCGTTCTGTATGCTGTGGAAAATTTTCGACCATATCTATACGGTCGAGAATTTACCCTAGCATGTGATTTCGAACCTATTAACTGGATGTCGTCTGTAATCAATCCAGGGGTACGGTTATCCAGATGGCGACTTAGGTTACGAGATTATACCTACAAATTTTAATATAAAAAGGGAAAATTAAATACTTAGGTACAAGCCTTATCTGAAAATCCAATCGTAGAGAAAGACAAGGATGAATCAGAATCAGAAAATTCTGAGAACACGATTACTCCAAGCGTTTTTCCAACGGACATGAAGACAAGCACAACCCTTCGATCATTACCTGTAAGTAAAATAACAACCAGCAAGGAATCTATTGCTGGACCATCCAATGTACCAACTCGAATATCTGCAAGCGAGGTCCCAAAGCCAAACTCCATATTAAAAAGACCTTCTAGCATCCAGACTCGGCGAACAAAATCAGTAGCTGACAAGGAAGCTTCTATATCCAAAAGAAATGTAATCTTGTTACCCTCTCCTGCAGTAATGAAACCAAAAGTTGGCAGACCAAAAAAAGAAGACACTAAAAAAACAACTGTTAAGACCCAATCAGCGCCTCTAAGCTTGGATAGAAGTACAATAGCATCAAGGCTACGGGCTAGGAAAGGAGCGATAACCGAACCAGACTCTACAGAAAGAGATGATCCCTCTTCAGAAGAATCATCATCATGTCCTTCAGAATCAGAAGAGTCTGACCCTCCCGTTTTTCGATCTAATAAAAGTGTCTTTCCCACACCAGGACCGCCCACCAACACTCAACAAAAAAAACGGCCCTACCTTATCCTTCGGAAGATCAACACCAGCAAGTTCAAATGTTTTCATTTTCACCTTCTGAACCTCGTACAGAAGTATACATAAATGGAGCATGCAAGGACAACGGAAACAGCCTCAATTGCAGCCACCAAAGCTAATGAATCTGGACACAAATATTTGAAGATATTCACTGATTCACGATTCTTGATCGACAGTATGACCAAGAGGTTACCACGGTGGAAGGAAAGCGACTGGAGAACATCAGCTAACAAACCAGTACTAAATCGAGTCGAATTCGAAAAATTGGAAGAAGCATTGTCACCTCTCGATGTTGTTTTTGAACATGTCCCTAGTCATCAAGAGATCGAAGGAAATGAAGAGGCAGACAAATTAGCTGTGAAGCAATCGAAAATCAACAAAGAATACCTCTGGAAACAGAAACCCAGGATTATGACCAAAATATTTCTTTTGAAGTCATAGAAATCCCTCGTAATATAACTGCAAGCGAAGAAAGTACTCAAGAAGGTGATATAACAGAAAATGAAGACGAGAACATGCGAAGGGAAGTTGAACAATTGGTAAAAAAATTCAATGAATCAATGGTAGAAAAAGAGTCTACTAATCAGAATATCACCAACCGAACCTTAGCATGGGATCACGAAGGAATGGATGAAGAATCGCTCCCTGAGAGGAATTGCCTTTCTGAAACGGAAGCCACGGAGGAACTACTCGAAAAACTTCAATCACGTGACCTTTGTGGAGAATATGATGATAACTTGTTTTTATCTCGTGTACAAAATTTCCTAACGGAATTCGACAAGCGAAAATCAGCAGGTACATCTAAGGATGCTGAAAAGGCAACTGAAGAGCAAGGTAGTTGTCCACCAATTGAATGAGAAGAATCAGGATTTGATGAGGTTCCTGAACTACGATGCTTTCACAAACGAAATGAATCGCCCCAGACGAGAAAACATATTTCCTTTCAGACACCAACTACAATTCCACAACCCTATGCACAGTCAACCCCGTACGTACAACCTGTTAATTTTAGTAGGGCCAATGAAAATCCAACAACCCCATTGACCTTAAGGACCTCAAGGAGTAATGCCCCCGAATTGGACAAATCCTTGTTACCCCTAACGGAAAATATAAAACATATTCCATAGTTGTTAAAAAGAGACACTTCGATCCTGTTAACTGGAACTATGTGACATCCGGTCTAAAAAGTCTTGAAGCAACCCTCAAGCAAAATAAACAGCATAGCTGTATGTTGGTGAACTTTGGGGACTTGTTAGGCTCGTTACCTGAAGACTACTTGAAGAAACTCGTTACAAGTATGTTCTGTGGTGGCGATGTTCCCATCACATTATGCCACGGAAAGATAGAAGTTCCCTTCCCAACTCACAAATCAGAAATTATAAAAAAGTTCCATAAAAGTTTAATTGGAGGTCATAAGGGTATTAACAAAACTTACAGACGTATCAGGGAAAGATACACGTGGCCTGGTCTACGTAACGACGTCAGCGAATATATCAGGCAATGCAGGACATGTAAACAAAATAAACTAGTTAGGGCTAAAACTCGAAAGCCTATGATCATCACGGATACCCCCGCAGAACCTTTCGACAAGGTGTCCCTGGATAAAGTAGGAAAATTAAGAACAACCCCTAATGGAAACCGGTTTATTTTAACAATCCAAGACAATTTTAGTAAGTACTGTATCGCCGTACCAATTCCGGATACGAAAAGTACAACAATTGCACATGCGGTAGTTACAGACTTAATAACAAAATTTGGCGCACCAAGATGCATCCTCACCGACAGAGGTTCAAATTTTATTAGTACTCTTTTGCGAAAATTAGAAAAACTATTCCAAATTAAGCAAATAACCACAAGTGGCTATCGACCTCAGACTAACGGATCTCTAGAAAGGAGTCATATAGTCCTTGCGGATTACATCAAATGCTACACTAAAGATTTTGACGATTGGGATCGACTACTTCCCTTTTGCATGCTCGCGTATAACACTTCGGTTCACGAGGCAACTAACTTTACGCCTCACGAATTAGTCTTTGGAAAATTAGCCAGGATTCCTAGCGCTTTCCCTCAAGGTCCTGAACTAGAAACATACGTTTCCTATCTTCGTGACCTAATTACCAGGCTTAACGACACTCAGGACATCGCGTCTAAAAATATTATCACATCGTCAAGTCTAAAGAAAATTATGATTCGAAATCAAGACCATTAAAAGCCCAAAAGGGAGATATAGTGTCTGGAGAGTGGCTGTTTTCCTGGACATAAGCAAGCAAACACAATGGCTCAAAACCTTGGACGAAAGATTAAAACAACTCCTGAATTTTTGCCCTGATAGATTTCCAAGTTGCCTTTCCCATATAAAGAAATACGATTGGGAAGATACCTGGGAAACTGCTGACGACTTAACATCAGAAATTACAACAGAAATGTCTGATCTAAGAAAGATACGAAATATAGAACCAGTCAAACCTCCAAGGACTTTCAGAACTAGAAGAAGTGCACCCCTAATAGGTTTCATCGGACGAATTGCCGGACCAATAATTGGAGTTTTATCATATAAAGACGGTGAACATATCGAAAACGAAATACAAGATTTGAACTTAGCTCAATCAAATCTATCCCACCTAGTCGGAAAACTAACCTACGTGGTACGAGCCCAAATGGATGCCCTATAGAGGAGAGCTGAAGCAGACGAAAAAAAATACGAAGAGTCCACGATCAACTAGAAAATCTGACTAACTATTTAAAAACGAATCTACAAGGAACAGCTAAAAAAAAATACCAAGATGACCTAATGGATGTCCTCTACAAAATAAAGCTCAACCTATTACTTTTCAGTAAAACTGGAGCAAGACTCCTCGACGTAATCAGATCCTCGAAGAAGAGACAACTCCATCCGATTCTTCTCACAATGAGCCAATTGATGCCAATCCTGAGAGACATCCAAGATCACCTCCCATCTGTAAGGCTGCCAGTTCAAGACCCCGATTATAATTTGGAAGAAATAATACAAATTTCACAAACTACGATTTTAATAGACGGTGATAACTTAAAAATTCTAGTTGACATACCCTAACTGGAAAAAACTGAATATTCAGTCTATAAATTACATGCCCTCCCCGTTTCACAAACTGTCTTCGAAGGTCACGTAGGAAGGACCTCCATCAGATCAGCTTATACGCACTTAGCGATCGATGAAGCACAACTAACCTATATAATGATAGAAGAAAACGAATTAGATACTTGTCAATCAGCTCCGGGTTACCTACTTTGTCGTGAAGGACTTACCATTCACGAAGTATGGAAGAATCCTCCTTGCGAAATAAAAATACGACGTCCTGAAGTCATGCAGCATAGGTTTAGAACATCACGATCAAGATTACTGGACAAGACTTTATTCATTGGGTGGTTGGCTCTACTCAGTGAAGGCTGAAACTACGTTGAATATATTTTGCCCATCTTCTCAAGGCATCAAAATCAAACTCCTTGGTCACCCTGTCAGCACTGAGAAAAATCCAAGGAACCACGGAAATAATTTATGAGTCCGAGATTTCCCTCAATATAACTGCTATATCCTCCATTTTGGCCAGCTAGATCGACTCCTCCAATCTCGAAACAACGGACAAAATGCACCTCAAAGTACCCAAAATGAAAGAATTTTATAAAAATTTGAAAACCCTTGACGAACTGGAACAACAATTAAACGAATTTTCACTTCAACGAAAAGAAAAACGCAACCAACTAATTTGGATACGTGGAACTTACTTAGGTATTGCAACCACAGCCTTTTTCGCGATCACCATTTGTTTCATCTTGAAGAGATGCGTGAGCAGTGGAGTCAGGAACATCGAAGGTCAACGAGAACAACGTCAAGAATCTACTTACCCAGCATATTCAAGAATCTGCGATCGCCGATCCCAGTCATCAAAATAAAGTCACACTTAAGAGAGGACGAAAGCTCCATAACTACAAAAGAAACGCAAGACATAAGTTTAACTGCATTAAAAACCGCTACTGCACCTTGTACTAAACTAAGAATCCATTCTTCAGTTGAAGGAGACGTGGAACAAGGACTAAGCTCATTATCACGCACTGAAGATCAACATGAATTGTCCGAAAATAAGGAGATAACAATCACACAACAGCACAGAAGATATCCTATGTTGCCATCGCAACAACTCCAACCCATTTAAAAAAAAGCCTCAAAACAAAGTTATATTTAAATAAGACAAAATATATATATATAAACTAAAACATTCATATATAATGCACATACTTAATAAGCAATTCATTTCAAACTTTTTTCAATTTTAACAACAATTTTAAATTGATTCTTATAATAAACTAAATAAAATAATGCTTAATAAAGTATTATGTTTATGGCATTGTTTATGATGATGTAACTGCACAGAATTGGCATAATACACCATCATACCGAATGATAGTAAACTATAATATATTTTATTAAACATAAAAAAATTAAAATTATTATTTTACAATGATATAATTCCTGCACGATGCGGAATAATATCCCATTATACCAAATAATAATCCACTATAATCCTTAATAAAGTATTCCGTTTATGTCATTGTTTATGATGGTGTAACTGCACAAAATTGGCATAACACACTATCATAACGAATGATAGTAAACTATAATATATTTTATTAAGCATCAAAAATTTAAAATTATTATTTTGTAATGGTATAAACATAACGTTAATAAATTTATTATCAATTAACAGACAATAATGTAAACTAGTATTCGCATTCCATGACCAAGAAAAAAAGAGAGAGAAGAAGAGTTTAAATTATATAATCGCGTCGAAATTATTATTGAAGTAATCTCAATTATAGATATAAGCACTGTACTAAATCTTATGAAATTCTTTCCTCTCTACTTACAAACTATGCACTATGTAAAAAATAAGTTAAGAAAAGAATACCAGCGAATTTCGAGAGCAGGAGTAATTGCCGGGTCGGAATTAAAAGTTGTTCCAATGGTGGTTTGTAATGAACCCTTCTACATTCATCAATTAACAAAAAGTTCATTGAACTTAGATAAAGATTACTTTAAATTTTTCTCTAAATCATTGCAACACAACCAACTCTCTTGCAATGTTTTAGGAATGGGCCCTTGCTCAGGAAATTCGCTGAATGCGAATGAATACTACTATTTCAACATCCAAGAAAAAGAGTAAATACTAACATTGACATTATATAAAAATCGCAAAAAGTACTATATATACTATATATACTATATATTACTATATATACTATATATTACTATATATACTATATATTACTATATATTACTATATATACTATATATATACTATATATATAGTACTATATATTAAAAGGGGAAATAAAATATTTGTTATTAAATAGATTCAAAATGGTAATATATTCTACGAATTATGATTGTTACTAAATTAAATTCA